TAAGTTTACGTGGGCCGCAAGAAAACAAAAGCTTCAATTTTCATAAAAACGTAGGTTTATTTCGATAGAGACATGCTGAATACAGAGGGCTGAAATAAATGAGTAATCGTTAGCATAAAATAATAGAACATTTTAATAAAAATTATAAAAATTAAACATTTTTCTTGAACAATAATTTACCAGACACACTGAATAACTGCACAAATTAATAAGCGTAACACAAATAAACCTATTTTTCTTGTTCTCCGAAAGCGAAATATTTCCTGTTGCGCACACCAAACAAGTCAGTCCAAGACTAATGACGTGGCCATTGGCTGCTAAAATATTCGCTGCTAGTATTAGTGGAGAGAAATGGTGCGCCTGCGCGAAAGACGCGTAAGGGAAATGAATGCAACACAATTATAGTAATCATTAGTGAATGTTGTAGTTAATTATTAATAATTATGTATAACAGGATATTGTAAAAATTAAGTTACAAAATTTGTATTAAAATGTTTCTTACATACTGTTATATTGGCTGGGCTGCAAAAATATTGGTTGTGGGCCGCATCCGGCCCGCGGGCCACAAGTTTGACATGCTTGTTCTAGATCTAGACCTTGGGAGCTCAATTGTGAAAGACCTATTTCAATGATCTCGTGGTCAGCGAGCCTCCAGCGGGGTGCCGACGGCCTAGCAAAGGATGTTTATGAGTCTGTCCCAATGGGCGACTTTAACATCCTGGACTGCAGAGGAGCTGCTCTTGTCATGAGGCTCAACTCAGTCACTTCCTGTGACTTTAGTCAAGACACTTATTCTCTCTGAGACCCAGTTTCCTTTTGGGATAACGACTTGTGGGGGCATTATGAGGATTGAATAAAATAAGGAATTCTGAGTTACTAGCAAAAAGTACATGATAGCCACATAAACAGCCTTTTAACCTGCCATACCAATTCCACCTGCTCTCCAGCACCCCGTCATCACCTTTAATGAGAATGTGTGGGTCTTGTGGGTTCTTAGGTCGGTAATAATCGTGGCTGACACCCTGTGAGGGACTGACTTGTAAGATTGCTTCAACTCCCATGTCAGCAAAACGACCTCACCATTTAACCAAGTAATTCCATACTAGGTGATTCATCCTGGCGGAAATAATTCTCTGGGAGGAAAAACTCTCTGCTGAAGTTCCTTGCAGCTCTTTTTATGAGGGTGAAATATTGGAATCATACTGCTTGTCCCAGAGAGGGAAATGGAATCATACATTACAAAACAGTCCCATATGGAATATTACTCAGCCTTTAAAAATGACGAGTATGAACACTGTAGGCATATGGAGAGATTCTTATTATGTAATGCGAAATGAAAAAAAGCAAAAAGCAAGCTATAGCTGCACAGTTACATGAAAAATACATTTGCTTCTGAATACAGGAAAATAAAAAGCCAATCCATTTGGATGATGAGGATGCGAGTGTATTTTTTAGCATTTTGTTTTCTGCTGTTACTCCGCTTTTGTGCACCAACTACATTTTTTAAAGAATAAGGAAGAAAACCTGATACTTGCTCCAAAATCTACTGAGCTGTAGGCAAGTTTCATTTGTGGAAGAATGCCTGGCACAGAGCAGGTACTCGGGAAGTGTTGGCAGAAAGAAGGATGAATGAGTCGTCCTAGAAACTACGAAGTCAGTGCTGATATGCACGGATCGTGGGCCTGGCCACAGCAGCCAAGGTCAGAGCTATGGCTGTGTTTATCTCAGGTTTGTCCCACCCTGAGCAGAGGCCCTCTCCCCTAGTCCCAGGTCTGAGGATATTTTCAGTAGTTGAATTAATAAAAGGAAATCAACACACACACACACACACACACACACACACACACACACACACACATGCACGCACATGCACACACACACACTAACACACATTAGCAATTTACAGCACGAATGTGAAGATATTTCACAAACAGCTGGGGCATATTAATGCTTGCGGCTCCTGTCTTAGGCACCTGTGTCCCCAGCTGCAGCAGCACCTGGCGGGGGGCAGGGGGGGATAAACATTGAACTGAGTGGAGGCCCCAGCCCAGGCATCCCGGGCAGAAGGCAGGGCCTGACTCCTGGGGCCTCTACTGCAGAACCTTTGGCTGTCCCCTGTGCCAGCTCATTCATTGCCTGCAGCCACCCACCTAATGATGTCCTTACCCAAAAGAAAATGAAATCATTTGTTCCTGTATGAACTATTAGGACCCCTCAAACCTGAGGGCTCACTTAGGAATAGAGAAATCATTGCTGCAAGGAATGTCATATTAGAAACATAATGGCTGCACCCAGCTTCTTCTGGCTGATGTGAGGAAGCTTTGCCGCCTCGGGATCTTGCCATCACACGGAGGGAACCCCAAGCCTCCCCAGCCTGTCACCTCACTTTCCAGATGACACGGGGCTGACTCCCTCAAGGGATTTGACCACTTACCGTAGTTAATAGTCTCTCAAAACCACCGCCTCATCCCTGATTCTTAGGGTGGCATTGGTTAATAAATTGTATTGGTTTCAGGTGTACAATTCTATAACACATCATCTGTATAATGTATTGTGTGGTCACTACCCCAAGGCAAGTCTCCTTCCATACCCCTAGATTGTTATCATTGGTGTGTCTTTATCTTCTCCAAAGACACGAGAAAATGATGATTTCAGAAGACGTGCCTGGGGAGGGAGTTGCTCCTACTGAATACCATTGCAAGAAATTTCCTCACTCATAACAGAATGTGAGGTGTCCTCACAGCTCACTCACAGACTTGCTCTGAGGCTTAATTGGGTTAATACAAACAAGAATGTGAGAAAAGTCCCTGGCACAGAGTAAGCCCTAAATAAATATTAGCTTAAAAGGTGCTAAAAATCAATCTAGATATATATGCATATAAAAAGAGAGATAAATAAGATCACACCTAAGGAGCTAATGACTCTACTTTTGGGAATCTATACTAAGAAAATTCTCATAGATTCAGAGAAAAATTTATGTATAAAAATGGTCATCAGAACATTGTAATAGAAAAAAGGAGAAACCCGGAAACAACCTAAATGTCCAACAAAAATGGAACAAGTAAGCAAACTATGCCACTTTTCAAAAGCACATTTTTGAAGAATCTTAATGCTATAAGAAATTATTATGCCAGGTGAAAACCATTCACATAATATGGTCTCGGTTATAGACACTCCACATAAGTACCCATGAAACAAACACCTGTATAAGAAACAGTTGGGAGGAAATACTCCAAATATTACTTGTGTGGTTTTGTGAATAGTGAGATTCTTTATTCACTTGGGCATTTTTCAGATTGTATACATATGCCTAGCATGTACTAATTCTATAAGTAAACAAATTAAATATAAAACATATACAAGTCTATTACAATACCACCAACACAACAACATAAAGATATGGTCCTAGACCAGCCCAGCAGCAAAGGCAGCTGGGATATAATCCTGATGGCCCCAGGGGGTTGCCAAGGGGACCGACAGGGCATCTCAGGACAGCTCTAAGCTTCCTAGCTTGAGAAATTGCATGGATGAATGATGGTGTTACAAACCACAATAGGAAATGTAGAAAGAAGGAAGAATGGGTTGGGAGGAACGAAAACCAACCCAGTTTGGCCTCTCTGGGTTTGCAGTGACCAACCTGTCCCCAGGTAGAGATGCCCAGCCAAGAGCTGGCTCTGTGTGGAGCTGATGCTTGGGGGAGGGGTTTCAGTGAAGGTGTGGGTGTGGGCCACAGCAGTGAGCTCTCGAAGCCGTGGTGTGGCTGAGGAGGATCCAGTATTCTGTGTTCTGCAACAGGGACAACCAGACAGTCATGGCGGCTCAGACACGCAGGCTCCAGAGCTCCACTCCTTCCACCCCAAATGTGACCCAAAGTGGCCCTGCCTCCCTCCATCGTGAGGCTACTGCTGGGTTACAGTAAAGCGCCTCGCAGAGATTCACTGTGACGTAAATGCTGTTTGGCGCTGCAGCCACTGCTTCCAGTGAGGCCTGGAGACCACTCTCAGAGTCAGCCACGTGAAACTTGCTGACTGTGTGGGAACGATGCTCAAGAAATGGCCTCTGCCTCGCCCGGTGACCTTTTACAGTAACCCATAAGGAAACTATTTTGGGCTTCAGGTTCAGGAGAGTGTGAGCAACTAGACGCCATGAATCCTATAACTGCTCCTGTTTCCCTTTTTGCTTTGGCCAATAGGAAGCTCGGGATAAAATCTGTGGCCCATCTCCAGCAGCCTGCGAGGATCACATACTGTGCGTGTTAGGGTGCTAATCTATTTACATTTTCTGTCTTTGTAAAGGTTGTACTGCCTTTATTTTCTCTTCATTTCTATTTCTTCTACCATGAATTTTTGTGAACTACTCAAAGTAAAAAAAAAAAATTTCTTCTATGTCATGCCCATCCATCGATTCCTAATCCTCCCAGCTAAATCCAGAGTAAATACATATAAGACAGAATTGGCCCTGTGAGGGCAACTGGGGTAAATTTTCGCAGAAAGGGTTTCACAGATCAAAAATGCAAAGTGCTGAGTGCTCCACTCTGTCCTTATTTTAACCACACAGGCCTACGTAGCTGCTGATTATATGCCAGACACCAGAGAGACGTGAGTTTAAATCCCGACTTTGCCACTTATTGGCAGTGGGATTTGGGGTGAAATCCTCGTCCTCCCGGAGCCTCTGTCCCTATCGCCTCTCCCATATGCCTAGTGTCCTCCAGTTACTCTAGCTGCTGACGGGCTGGTCCTAGGGTCACCGGATGGCAGGATGAGGGATGGCCCTCCCACCTCTGTGTTGGGTCCTCCTAGGCCACCCTCCATCATCTCCCAGAAGTGGTCATTCCCCTGGAAATGTTCTTTGGGGGCCCCCAAAGCTGTGGCTCATCACTGTCTCCAGCACCTCACAGGAACCCCATTGGCCGGTGTTCTTCAGAACCTGCGGGTGGTCCCAGAGCCGGCAGAGGTGGGAGAGAGGCCGGGCTAAGCACCCTCCTTCCTCTTCTATTGCAGAGCCGTTTGAAAGGAGCACTCGAGCTGCTAGAAAAAATGAAACGTTGCAGGAGACGAAGACCCGGTTCCTGCTCTTTGAAGGGGCGACTGATAGGGGCTGTCAGATTCAGCTCCACCGCGCAGACACGCTCCAGCAGTGCGGCTTCAACGCCTCCCTGCCGCTGGTGATGATCATCCACGGGTGGTCGGTAGGAAATGCTGACACATCTTTTTTGCTCTCTGCTCTTACATTTTCTTTTTTTTTTCCTCCCTCCCTCGTGTGCTCAGTTCTAATAAAAAGATCGGGAGCTGGTGATAACAGCTTCATGCATAATAATTTTTGTAAAGCACATTCTAATTTTCCAAGTGCTTCCCCACACACTATCTCAGTGATGATCTCAATTCCATGAGTAAGCCGGGAGGGGAAACATCATTATCTCCGAGTTTCAGGTGATAAAATGTGACTCAGAGAGGTCACCCAGCACATGAGGGCCCACAGGGGTTGCGGTCCATGCAGGTGAAGCTGCATGACTCGCAAGAGGAGGTAGGAAGCCAAGGACATCGTCTCTCAGTGAAATGTTGTCTCTGTCACATAACAACCCAGAGACAGGTAATCCAAAACTGGGCAATGGGACGTCCTCAAGGACCCAGCTCATTGCCTTCAATGTGGCCCTCGTCCTCGTAAGTCCCAGACGGCAGCGAGAGCACTAGCCGTCACATCTTTACTCCAGATAGCAAAGGGTGCGTACAAAGGAGTCAGAGCAGGGTTTTTTAACAACTTTATTGATATATAATTCACATTCCATACAATGCATCCATTTAAAGCAGCGGTTCTCAACCTGTGGGTCGTGACCCCTTTGGCGGTCGAATGACCCTTTCACAGGGGTCCCCTAAGACCATCCTGCACATCAGATATTTACATTACGATTCATAACAGTAGCAACATTACAGTTATGAAGTAGCAACGAAAATAATTTTATGGTTGGGTCACAACATGAGGAACTGTATTTAAAGGGCCAGAAGGTTGAGAACCACTGATTTAAAGTACACAATTCATTGGCTTTGGTATAAAAGAGTGCTTTTTTTAGGTCGGCCTCCCGGAAGCATCTGTGAAGTGCCTCCAGTTGCATCCATGGGCCATACCTAGATGGAAAGGTGGCTGAGACATGTGTAGTCTCTCAGAGGAAGTGTGGCCCTTTAGCGATGCTAAGAATGCTATTACCATGAAGAAAGGAAGAGAATATTGTGGGCAATAACTGAAGTCAAACTAAGTGAGGCCTCATCTCCAAGCGGGAATTCTGACTTCCTGGTTACCAGCCCGCCCACAATTTCAAGCTAAATGCACAATAAGAAACTTCCAGGACTCGGGGGTCTGGTTTATGACTTGGAAACCTTCCCCTGTCATCCAGTTGGAAATTCTCCTGAAACCCTCATCTGTCTGCTCTCGAGAACAAAAGAGGCCCATCTACCACACCGCTCTTTCAACACGCATTCTCCCAGAGCCTGCCACGCGCAGGCTAGCAACCGCACATGAACCAAACAGACCCCGTGCCTGGCCTCCGAGGGGAGTAGGGCGCCACATGCTGCCACGTGGGTGCAGCCACGAGGTGGGTGGCTTCTATTGCCATCCCAGAATAGCACAGAGGCTCCTGCAGCCCGCCAGCAACTTCCCCCCCAGGATTTAAAGGGGTCCCCGTAGAGAAATGGGAGTTGGCAAGGAAAGTGGTGGGGGACTTTTCTGCCCCTAGAGAAGGGACTTAACATAGATTGAGGCCCAACCAACTGAGCTACCCAGCCAGGGCTGGGGAAATCTTTACTAAATGAATGGATCTTTCCCCGGGGGACATGCCAAGCCATCAGCTTTGCTCTGCACCTCTGCCGGCTAGTCTTCAACCACACCTTCCTTTTCGCCTCTTCCCAGACATACCAGGCTTCCCCTCTGCCATCTGCACCTCTGCCCGTGCTCTTCCTTCTAGATACCTCCCCCCTCAACCACCACCACATCCAGCTGCCACCCTCATTCTTCTCAGAGAACTCCTAGTTATCCTTTAAGACACAGCATAAATGTCTTTGCTCTGTGAACCCGTCAGAAGTGCCCTGCAAATTGGTTCTCAAACAAGGTGCATACATAGAACAATTCCCCATAAATATTTATTGAGCTCCTTCTATGTTCTGGCTCCTGGTGCTAGTCCCTAAAGCAAGCAGGATGCAGTGAGGGCGGGGGCGGGCGGGGGACCTGGGTGGGACTCAGAGGTACAGCAGAGCAGGCATCAGGGAGGGGCTGGTGTGGCTGCCAACGCTGGAAGGAGATGTCCGCTTTCAGTACCCGATTGACACAAATGTTTCCATTGTTTCAAGGCTGGGCGAGTCCTAAAATAGGGAAATGCTGACACAGTGGTTCTCAGTTGGGGGTTGGAGGTGGTAGCCCCCAGGAAGTATTAGGCAAAGTCAGGAGAATTTTTGGTTTTCATAACTGGGGACAGAGGGTGCTGCTGGCATCTCGGATGGAGGCCAGAGATGCCGCTAAACCTCCTACAGTGCACAGGACAGCCCACAGCATACAAGCATCTGGCCCCAAATGTCATTTCAGCACCGGGGCTGGGAAACCCCTTGCCAAGCCCTTTCTCTTGGAGAGAAGGACCCAGTGTTAGGCAAGAGTTGGAGAAGAAAAGGGGGTGGATAGGGAGAAAGAGGACATCAGTGCCCCTCCTGGTGATGCTGACGGTCCTGTGGGCCCACGGCAGGTGGACGGCTTGCTGGAAGACTGGATCTGGCAGATGGTGGCCGCGCTGAAGTCCCAGCTGGCCCAGCCAGTGAACGTGGCGCTGGCAGACTGGATCAGCCTGGCCCAAAACCACTACGCCATCGCCGTCCGCAACACCCGTCTCGTGGGCCAGGAGGTCGCGGCAATTCTCCGGTGGCTGGAGGTAAGACCTGCCCAGCCTCCCTTCCTCTCCCTTCCCCTCCGAGGCCAAGTGCATCAGCTGGTCTCCAACCCCAGCCCAGACAGGAGAACCTCTCTGCCACACTCCCAGGAATGGGAAGGCCCGGGACCGAGACCACTTGCACCCCATCCCCATCCACTATTCTTCTCCTCCCCACTCACTATTCCTTTTATGTTCAGCCCTTGGACACGCTAAGGCAGGGGTCCTCAAACTACGGCCCGCGGGCCACATGCAAATACAAATATTGTATTTGTTCCCGTTTTGGTTTTTTACTTCAAAATAAGATATGTGCAGTGTGCATAGGAATTTGTTCATAGTTTTTTTTTTTAAACTATAGTCCGGCCCTCCAACGGTCTGAGGGAGAGTGAACTGGCCCCCTGTTTAAAAAGTTTGAGGACCCCTGCACTAAGGGATCTAAACACACCCTGGCAACCACCTAACCCCACACACATGAACAGGTGGGGTCGCTTCTGCAGGGCACTCATATCCGGGGAAGACGGGCAGGCAGGCGGCAGCAGCACCAGGCAGGGCCCAGGCTGCTGAGCCTGAAAGGAGGGAGGATGGAGTCCCCAAGGGGAGGAACCAGAGTGTGAACGAAGCGACTCGTTTGTGATCAGGTACAAAGAACAGGGTGGGAGCCTGAACAAGCTGCACCCACGGAGGCCTATATCCAGGCAGCAATTCCCTGCCTGCAGCCGTCTCCCCTGCCTTCCAGGAATCGGCTCCGTTTTCCCGAAGCAACGTTCATCTCATCGGGTACAGCCTGGGCGCGCACGTCTCGGGGTTTGCTGGCAGCTACATCGGCGGGAAGCACAAGATTGGGAGAATTACAGGTACCCATGCCTGATGACTAACCACTGTCGTCTCCAAACTGCGCGGGGCGTGGGGCACGCACATGCTTTCCGACAGGCTCACAAAGAACACGCCCCCCCTCCCTGGCGCTGTGTTGGGGTTCACGGGAGGACTGGGAGCGCCGTGTGAAACGTAAGCACCGCCATAGGCAGCTGTTCCGAGAGAAGGCGGAAATCGCAGCCTCCACTCCCACTGCCTTCCCTCAAACAAATGCCTCGCCTCGTCAGGCCAAACAGGATCAGAAAAGTAGACCTTCTGTACACGTTTGTAGCAGGAAAGTTTCTTTTTCAACCTATAGTTTAAAAAGCCTAACCTGAACCAGTTAAAAAAACCACAGCACTACCTCCGCTGTAACATCAGCTATGTTTGTGCCTCAGTTTCCACATTTGTGAAACACGTGGGTCTTACTCTGGGACCCATTTGGATTGAGGGAGGAAGCTCTGCACCAAAAACCTCACCCCGAGCTCTACACCAACTCGGAAATTTTGTTGCGCCAGCACGGCCAGGGTGAACCT